CTTTCCCTAGGAAAGCTTTCATATGCAACTACTCATGTTCACTCATTTCATTTCAGAGTGGACCTTCTATAGCAAGGACCACTGCAAATCATATTGTTCACAGTCATTACAGGGTTAGGACCAGTTGACTGACTTTGTAAATCACCTGTTTGTTCCAGTTATCCAGAGGATATATGACATTAGAGTACAGTGAACTTTTAAAACTGAGCTCTAAGAGGAAAAGCTCTTAAGTCATTCCAGCCTTAATTTTACATGTTGCTGTCTCCCTGTGATCTTAGGAAGGAATTTAAAATAAATAAAAAACTATTACTGTAAGATAATTTGTACTCCTGAAGGGAAAAAAAAAATCTTTCTTTGTGTTTACAAACAGTCACATAACAAGCAGTAAACATGTAAGCCGCCTTGCTACAGCTTATCTGTGATGTCTGTGCTGCTCTAAAGCACTTTCTCTTGGCGGGGGGAAGTGTTAAGTCATCGAGCCATTCAGTTGTTGGAAACTTTGCCAGCGGTGTTAATAGCTGCAGTGGCAAGTGTCATGCTGGGTAGATGCTGAGAATTGTTCTGTGGCCACAGCACTGATAGTAAGCAGTTCATAATAATTTCTATTCTCTGCCAGTCTGACTTCTTTCAAATCTGGGATTTATGTTAGAGAAATGACAGTTACTTGCAATGTAACTTACCAAAAGCTAGTAAAAATAAGCGTTGTTTATTAGGAGAATTTTTTGTCTTGTCTTTTATGATGCGCAGGAGGTCTTGTATTTGTAATTTGAATGTTTGACAATGTCATTTTAAGGCAGTCTGTGCTGTATAAGTAACTGAATTTTGGTTGACAGCTATTGTCTGAAGCATCTTCACAAAAAAGGGAGGGGATTATTTGGTATTTACAAGTTAAGTTAAACATCTTTTATTTGGATGATAATTTGAATTGTTTGGATCTTTATTACAGCTGTTTCCACTTCAACATAATGAGGAAAAATACAGGTTGTGACTTATGTACTTATATACTGCTTACTTATATACTGCTGCTAATGCTTCATTCCAGAAATTGATGAAGCGTTGGTGTTACACAGAATTTTCTTGCTCACAGTGAAATCCTCTGTAGGAAACGAGAGTGGAGAGGAGTGACTTACTTGAAAAAGGGGGTGGGTTTGTTGTTGTGGTTTGTTTTCTTGTTTGTTGTTTTTTTTTAGAAGTGTCTATTTCTTTTGATGATTTGGAACCAGGAAGGGGAAATTAGAGGTTTTGGCTCACAGTTCTAGCACATCTTCTCAGTACTGGCACTTTCCTTTAAAAACTGCATTTATTCCACTGTTTGTTGCTTTGAAGAGAGATTAGAAAGTCTCTTGCAGAACCTGTGTTTCTTCCCTGGATTTCTGCAGGAATCTGATTGCATGGGGCAGTGGTTGCCAGGGCATTCTTTTTGTGCCGTGGGTAAAGATTCAGTTTGCAAGTTAAAGGCTATGTACTATTATTTGGAATAATGCTTCTCCTTTTCGGCTCTATAATATGCTGTCCCAGTTCTAAGTGTGATTTTTTTTTTTAATTGTGTACTTTAACATTTTATTTGCATGTTCATTTTCTTTCCAGCATTTTTTTCTTCCACTTGACAGTAAAGTGAATATCATCACATATACTTCTATAAGTATTATTTGACACATCAAAATTATCAGATTTCATTTAAGTGCTTCTCTAGTGCAAAGTAAGCCTAGATAGTGAGTTGTGATACACATATATCTGATTGTATAGGACATAGTGACATTAGATTTGTCCACGTAAGTCATAAGATAAAGCAAAAGAGGAGGATCTGGTCCATTGGATGTATTTTCCGTGCTTCTGGAAAGTGTCACACTGCAATGTCAGTTGCAGTGATGTCGAACTGGAGTCTAATCTCAGAAAATAATTATTGTCACTTATTTCATAAAATTTGATGTTGTCTCCTGTATATGATCAAATCATACACATTTCTACCACAAACCTTGTGTTTTGTTTTATACTGTACATAATTGCGGAGAAGTAAGAAAATGTTTTTTGATTGTAACATAGTTCAAAAAGTGTATCTGGTAAAGGTGATAAATTTTAAGATCACTCTTCACTGTATACTAAAGCATACAATGTAAGCTATGCAGCTAGAGTGCTGTCATTTGCTGGCAGCATGAAAGTTGTGCAGAACAATGTGTCTTTGGCAACTTAAAGGCTTACAGAAGTAAATCTTTAATAGCCAGTTTCTTTTTAGTCCTGTTAGATAAGAATTAAAGTGCTATGCCTGATTTAAGTGACAGCAATTTAGCCATCAATAAAATCTTCAATACAATATGATTTCATGTCTTTTTTCCATTTTGGGTTTTGTAGTAAGAGGAACAAAAACTAACTAAATATGTATTGAAAGTTAAAGTAATTTAAGATTAAAATTGATGACTGTTTCCTATAGTACAATAACAAATATTTTTTGCAGATCAGCTGTAATGGAGAGAGAAAGTACTGATGGCTATTTTATGAAGAGCTTCCTATCTGCATGAAGGGATTAGCAAAACAAATGCAGAATTGTTCATGAATTTTCTCCAACATGTTTAAAAAAACCATTGAAACCTCTCAAGTTAAGTATGAGGTCCAGGACAGGTTCTGGATGGGAGCTGTGTGGGTGGAAAAAAAGCTTAGAGTTAAACTAACTTTGGTATGTCTTACTGGGAGCTAATTAAAGGGGATATTTCTGTCCATGGCACAAAACTGAATTTGGTCACGGTGAAATCAATGGGAGTTTTATCATTGATTTTTGAAGTCAAGATTTCACTCAGTGGGGTGTTTTGTGTTTTTTTTTTTTTTTTCTTTGAGTTGGAAAAACTACCAGTCTGGCACATCATGTATGTAGGTATCCACACAAGGTGTGGTTTTTTGTGCAGAAGATGCATCATTCTTTTTTAGATGAGGCTTCTAAGTTTTTAGTCGTACACCTAAGAAAATGGTGAGGATTTGGAAATTAATGAATGCCAGTAAGCCTGATAAGCTAAAAAAAGGTCGACCTGCAATTTTGTTCTATAAAATTTAACACTAAATTTGCAGGACTTGAAACTAGCATAAATATGACTTTCTACAGAAACTGTTCCATAAGCAGAATATGCAGTTGGTGAATCACTTTATTCCTTTGAAAGCAAACAAGTCTTCAGCTGAAATGAGCTTGAAGGCTGCATGAAGAGAGAGGTTTTTGACTTGGTTTTTGTCTGTAGTTTGAAAACTTGGCAGGTCTAGGTAAAGCTTGTCACTTCGGGAGACTCCATCTGATGCTTCTTTAATGGCAGCAGCGGAGAATCAGTTTTCTGGCCTTTACATCCTGAAGCCTTATGAATTTAGTTCTGTGCTTAGTAGATCAGAAGTTGGCTGAAAACTGGCAAAAACGTTGGATGAAAAATGAATGGCCATCCCTGTCTGAAGATGATCCTTCCAAGAATTTTGATGCACAGAGGAGAATCTGCATTTCTCATTTTGATTTTCAGTAAGGTTCTGTAAGTAAGCTCTGATTGCAGGGCTAGCAAAATGTAATTGCTTCCGTGAACACTTTCACATGCATTTTTCCTATGCTTATCTTAAAAAAAAAAAAAAAAAAAAAAAAAAAAAAATTCATCAGGAGTCATTCAGTGTTTTAATTTCATCTAGGGTGTCTCAGAAACTTGAAAAATATCAGCATAAGCATTCACAAGTTCTGATGTTGGAAATTACTTCAGAGGTTTTCCAGCAAAATGGCCAAATCTAACCAAGAGAATTTTCTCTTTAATTAGTATGTATTCTACCAATTGCTGTAAAGCAGCACTTGGATATTTTTCAAGATGTTTGAAAAACTGTACAGGTTTTGCTTTAGATGAGAACTGTGGAGTTTCTAGATGTGGACTTGTTGTTTTTGAAAATGTTCTCTTGAAAATCTTTGATTTTGACTTGAGGGATTTGCAGGATCAACCCTTAAGTGTTAGTTTTCCCATTGCTGCTCATATTGAAACTATGCAGCATTGGCTTTGTAATGCTGTGAACCTTTAAGTCAGTAACGTTAACTTCCTTCAGGTGCATGTTATTACCAGGTTTTTGTTAACCTTTCTTTAGGGTTTTTGTTTTGAATGTAATGAGTACGTAAGCCCCAAATGTGTATCTAAAACATGGATTAATTGGGGCACAAATTAGACCTCAAAAGTACAAACAAGAATTGAGCTAAATGCTTCTCTCCAGGTGAGGAAGATTGAAATCACTGACAGGAAAGCTACAGTTGAAAATAAGAAATTTTGAGTTTGCATGAGCTTGGGAAAACTGTATTGTGCTGTGGTTTTTTTTTCCTCAAAAAACCCCACACCTCACACTTGTGTTTGAGAAATGCAGATAATGTGTGAAATGCTTGTTTCTGCCAACATTTTTTTTTTTTTTTGCAACCTCTCCGCTTTATTTTTAGGGAGAGCATACGTCCTTGCAAGACACCTCACCTTTACTCTTTTCTGCTGCGGTAAAAACTCTTGGGCTTTTGGATACTGCAAATGTTTTTGGTTTTTTTTTTCATTTTTTTTTTTCCAGCTGATGCATTGCCAAGAGGAAAACTGAAGAGTTAAGCCCTCCAGAGCAAGGGAGAGTCAATGCAGCATCAGCATGAATTATGAATACCAAGGGCTACACCTAGAGAAGAGAAAGACTTCCTGAAACCTCTCAGGGAGGTGAAAAGGACAGTGGAAAAACTAAGACTAGAAGAGACCAGAGCTATGACATCTGA